CCGGGCCTGCTTTGGCTGGGCCACAGGCAGTAATGGGAAAATAAGCAAACCAGTCAAGAAAAGACAGCGGTAGGTGCTGTGTGAAACAAGGCAGTGACATGATGGAGAACGGCGGGGGAGTTTAATTAAATATTTTTAAGTGCCTGGGGGAGGCTCTCCAACTGGATCCAGGACGCTCAGAGAAAGTGACCCAAAGCTACTGGGATACTGCCGGCCACTAACTACTCAGCCTCTCGTACACAGGCCTGGCCAATGCGATGTTAGCGGAAGTGGGCGGAGGGGAGCCTTTGCTTTCCCAAAAAGAGAGGCAAGTCTCAGGGCAGAGGCCCTGCCTGGTCCTCCAGCTCCTCCTAGACCGTAAGGAGAAGAGGAAAGTGCCGAGAGGCAGGCGCCAAACCAACACCCGCAGCCGCCACCTCCACACCTGCCATGCGAGAACAGCAAGCCCTACGTGCTTAGCAGGGTTACTCTCAGCCGAGTTCTCTCTCCTTTTCCCTGTAGAGCACCCCAACTTGGACCACCAGCCCCGTGAAGATCTGGGCAAGAGGGATGCAGGCAGAGTCCAAAGACCCTAAAGTGGGGACGGCCTTGGCGTGTTTGAAGAAAGAGAGAAAAGAGGAGGCGAGGGAGTAAAGTCAGAGAGGTGCGGGTCTGGGAAAGCTTCGTAGCCCCTGGGTTTCATTCTAAGTGCATGGGAGACTGCCAGAGGGTTTTGGGCTGAAGGATGACATGCTCCAACTGAGGTTTCTTAAAAGAACATTGGAGCTGTGACGGGGATGAGTCAGGATGCAGGTGGGCCGACCTGCTCTGCGGCTGACTGAGCTGCTCCCGCTCTTTTCTTGCCACCTTTTGTTCCCCTTCCCGGTCTCTGATGCACTTGGGTGAACCACAGGACCCCCTGAGACCCGGGGAGGAGGGTTTTCAGAAACATGTTCTTTCCTGATAGAAAGGGATGGACTCCGCTGGTCTGGCCCTCTCCCAGGAATGGCCGCTGGGGATACAGAGCCTTTCAGACTGGGGGGGTCACAGGCCAAGGCCAGCAGCGGGCAGGTGGAAGCCTGGCCTGGGTGCCGGCAGCATCATTAAACCTTACTGCCAGCTGCCAGCCTCAGTAGGTGAGAAAAATACCCCCCACCTGCTTACGACAATCTCCGCCTGATTCTGACTTGCAGCCTGCTTGGAAAATTACGGCTAGACTCAAGGGTCTCCTGGGGAAATGTGGGGGTGGGTGAGGGTGGAACCCACCAACAAGCTGCTCTTCACCTACGTCACTCCCACCCCCAGGGACCAGGTCCTTCCCTGTCCTCAGTTCTCAGTGACCACAGGGGGGTGAGAGAGCAGAAGAAAGGGGACAGCTTGGGCAATAATGGTATCAGGGCCTAAAAGGAATCAGGTGTGATGTCAGCCCAACCTCTCATATTTTTTACCTCCTCCTAAGTCAGCTTTATTAGGTGAGAAAACCTCCTATTTGCATAAGACTCTATAACTTGGGCTTTCTGTTACATTAAACTAAATACATTCTCAGCTTACTCAGTGGACATGCGAGTCAACAAAGAGACGGCTAAGTGCGGGGTGCAGGTGAGAGACGACAGGACTGGACTGGCGCTTGTCTCCCTGTTGGTCTTTCCAGCTGGTCTCAGCTTTCCTGCCATTGGCTTCCACACGATGACACTTTCTTTTTTTTCTTTTTCTTTTTTTTTAAGTATTTTTTTAAAATTATTTTATTGATTTTTTACAGAGAGGAAGAGAGAGGGATAGAGAGCTAGAAACGTCGATGAGAGAAACATCGACCAGCTGCCTCTTGCATAACCTCTACTGGGGATGTGCCCACAACCAATGTACATGCCCTTGACTGGAATCGAACCTGAGACCTTTCAGTCCGCAGACTGACGCTCTACCACTGAGCCAAACCGGTTTCGGCGATGACACTTTCTAAATACAAATCTCTCCACTGACTCCTCTTGGCTTAAAATTCTCTGCTGGCTCTCCATCGTCTACAGCAGGGGTCTTCAAACTTCTCTCATTATGAGAATCACCTGGTGGAGTTGTTAAAACACAGATTCCCGGATCCCAACTAAAAAAGTGCTATCAGGAATCTGTGTTTTAACACCTCCACCAGGTGATTCTCATAATGAGAGAAGTTTGAAGACCCCTGGCTACAGCTATGGTCGGCAAACCCATTAGTCAACAGAGCCAAATATCAACAGCACAACGATTGAAATTTCTTTGGAGAGCCACATTTTTTTAAACATAAACTTCTTCTAACGCCACTTCTTCAAAATAGACTCGCCCAGGCCGTGGTGTTTTGTGGAAGAGCCACACTCAAGAAGCCAGAGAGCCGCAGTTAGCCGACCACGGGCCTGCGGGCTAAAAAAAAAAAACGAACCTCCTTTGACTAACACACGGTGCCCTTTACGATTTGTCCCCACCTTTCCCGCTGTTCCACCCTTGCATTTTACACTCTTCCAATAGGACACACCCCTGGTGAACAGCCCCCACACGCCAGGTACCACCCATTCTTCATCCTTAATCCCACAGCCCTGAGAGGCGGGTATTCACACTCGAAGTTTACAGATGCTCAAATTAAGTGGCCTGGCCAAGCCCACACATCTAGTAAGTGGTGTGTCAGGATTTAAACTCTGCTCTTTACTTTATAACAAATTAGAGATTTATTTTCCTCACTTACCAAGTTTGAAGGCGGGTGAGTGCTGGCCTGTCGGGGCGCTCCACGATGCCGCCAGTCTTTTGCAGAGGGCTGGCTCTCACCCTTCGGTTTGTTATTTCAAGGCCCTACGATGGCTGTTCAGCTCGACATCACATTCAGGTCCAAACCAAGGAGAAAAGGGCAGGCTACACCAGCTTCATCTGTCACAACCCCCTCCTGTATTTTTTGTTATGAAAGCAAAAGCTTTCCTAGAAACCCTCAGCGCATGTACCTGGAGCTAGCTCATGGACACGTGGCTGCCCCTAGCTGTGAGGGAGCCTGGGAAATTGGGGAATATAATTATTGTGGTTGGCTGAGATAAATACAGTCCACCGCTTGGGATCCAGCCCCCTGCTGCCCTCAACAAAACTGGTGTTCTGGCCGAAGCCGGTTTGGCTCAGTGGTAGAGCGTCGGCCTGCGGACTGAAAGGTCCCAGGTTCGATTTCGGTCAAGGGCATGTACATTGGTTGCGGGCATATCCCCGGTAGGGGGTGTGCAAGAGACAGCTGGTCGATGTTTCTCTCTCATCGACATTTCTAGCTCTCTATCTCTCTCTCTTTCTCTCTGTAAAAAATCAATAAAATATATTTTTTTAAAAACAAAAACAAAAAAACGTGTTCTGTTAGCAAGGAAGAATGGGGTGATGAGGAGCAGGTGACAAACTGGGGTCTGCCACTACCATCTGCTCAGCAGAATGGAAGCACTTGTGGGACTCTGGCTGTCCCACGCCTCTCCTCACATCTGCAAATCCTTTCTTACCCATCACAGGCCAGTTCCTGTGAGCCCCAATGTTCTTTTATCTTTTCCCTATATTATTTTTTAAAATATATATTTTATTGATTTTTTACAGAGAGGAAGGGAGAGGGATAGAGAGTTAGAAACACCGATGAGAGCAAAACATCAATCAGCTGCCTCCTGCACACCTCCTACTAGGGATGTGCCTGCAACCAAGGTACATGCCCTTGACCGGAATCGAACCTGGAACCCTTGAGTCCACAGGCCGACACTCAATCCACTGAGCCAAATCGGTTAGGGCTCTTTTCCTATATTATTGCTGGGTCACTTCTCCCAAGAAGCGTTCCAAAAGTGTCCAATACAACACATCAGAGGCCCTCAGTGGATGTGTTTTTTTGCTGAAGACTTTGTTAGGATTGTCTAAACCAGCGTTTTTCAACCGCTGTTCCGCGGCACACTAGTGTGCCGCGAGATGTTGCCTGGTATGCCGTAGGTGCAGACAAGACAAGAATTTTATAATTTTTCACTATTTTGTTTACTTAATATTTCATAATAAAGTAATTATAAAATACTTTTTGTGTTTATTTGATTCCTATTCAAGAGAATTACTTTATATATAGTCAATATAGGCACAGAGTTAAATTTTTTAACATTTTCTAATGGTGGTGTGCCTCGTGATTTTTTTCATGAAACAAGTGTGCCTTTGCCCAAAAAAGGTTGAAAAACACTGGTCTAAACAGCTACAGCCGCTGGTGTGTGATTCTGAGAGCGCTTAAGATAACACGTCAGGTTCCTGTTCAATAGCTTACTGTGTGTGGCTTTCATGGTTATCTAAATGCTGTGTTTTGTTGCCCTTTCTACTACTGCAGCTGAGAACGAGACAGGCAGGGACAGGGAAATGCTGTCTCGGCTCTGGGCTGTGCTTCTGTTGCCATGGTGATGTTGACCAGTGAGTGACATTCAGGTGACAGGTGCTTCACACAGTGGAGCCAGTGGGCGAGGGAGGCCAGGCAACACCCAGGCCTCCTGGCCTGGAGAGGACTTCCCAACACCAGCTGGCCCGTGCCCCTGCCTTTAGCTGAAAACCAAATGGACGGAGGTCTCATTTCTGAAAATCCTCAAGAGCAAGGTCCACCACCCCTGAGCCACCTGGCAGGCTCACACTTGCCAGTATTCATTGGCCCTGAAGGGGTTTGCTATGTCTAGCCTCATTCTCCCCTGCTGTCCTTCCAGCCCAGGTCCTCTCATGGTCTCTATGGAAATAAAGTTAGTCACCTGCGCACTCTGAACGGTGACCCGGGAGGTTAAGGTCAAGAGAAAATAAGACCCCGCAGGAAGGTGGCCTGGTTTGGCAACACCAGCTGTGGTCCTTCGGGGCCCAGCCCTGCTCTCCATCCACTCTTGGCTCCGGGAGTGGGTGGTCTGGAGGGGCGGGGAGTCCACCTAGTGGGGCACACGTGGAAACAGCTGGCTGCCCCCCGCAAAAAGAGAAACAGGCCGACTGCCTACCAGGTCAGAGCAGGGGCAGCCCCGCCCTGCTCCTGAGTGAAGTGAAGCAGAGACAGCGGGAAGGCCTGTTTTTAATGAGCGTCTTTAAAAGCCTTGGCAAAGCACACAGAGCCCACGGCAGCTTGGAAACCCACACCGATGACAACAGACTCTCCCTTCCAGATGCCCTGCAAGACAGAAACGGCTCTGCTAAATCCGGACTGTGGCTTTCTCCCACCTCCCATTAAAGAGAGAAAAAACCCCAACCTTAAAAATCACTTCAGATCCTCCTGCCTGGGGAGTGCTCGGGGCCCTAATGGCCTCGCCTGGTGTGAAGGGGAGGGAGCGGGAAAGCGCCCAATCCCAGGCGCAGAGGGCAAGTGCCCCCCCCCCCCCCCCCGCCTTTCCCAGCGCCCCTTGGCCCCCACCACCGAGGACTCAGGACTCGGGAGAAGACTCTGCCATCAGGGAAGAGGGGCTGGATACTAGCAAGGCCCACTCCCATCCCGTCACTCTCTCTACCCCTCACTACTCCCACTTCCTTTCTCTCTCCTTCACCACAGACATGCTAGACACACCCTGCGCCTCTCTCCAGTCCCTAATCCCCCAAATAGTGCCAAGAACGCCAAACACTTGCATGAAACCTCTGCTTCCCCGATTGCTTTCTTTCACACTCTGGGCCCAGAAGCCAGCGCTTCTGTTCAAGGGAGGGAAGGAGCCTCTGTCTGCAAGGAGGTGGACACCCACCTCCGGGGCTGGATCCCTCCCGGTCGCTCTCAGCAGCTGAGCATCGCGATTCTGCTCATTAAGCCCCTTTCTTCTCCTTAATTAGCTGTGTGTGAATCTTGTCGGGGAGTGTTGGGTCCGTGAAATAGTCTGGGATAAGAACCAAAGAGAAGAAATCATCCGGGCCCCAGAGACAAAGGCTGCGGAAAAAGTTAGCCTGGCTCGGTCTTAGCGGGCTGTGACTAGTGGCCCCGCTTTGCCACTATGAGTTAGATGTCACTGCAAATCCTGAAACCGCTGTCCCCTTTACCACCACCACCACCCCCCACCCCCCCAGCAGCCCTGGGCCTGCCCGCGCCAGTGTTCCCAAGGAGAGCCTGCTCAGGGCGGCCCCTCCCTCCACACCGCCCTCCGGGCTTGCTGACTGACGCACGGGGAGCCGTCAGAGGGCTGAGCTCTGGCTTTTCCGCTCCCGGCCCTTCTCGGGGCCCAAATAAATGCCAAGTGTTATTCTTGTCTCCTCCGCTGGGCCTGGCAGCCCCTGTGGGCGCGGTCACGCCCTCTCTGGGAAGGTCCTCTCAGAGGAGACAGGCTGGGGAGAATGACTTTCAGACTCACCGTGTGAACCAGAGGCAGCGTCTGCGGGGCAGCCAAGACGTACTTAGGTTCCGTTGGAAATGGCTGGAGGATGTAGCCGGCTCCCAGGGCCCAGGAAACCGCCCGGCCCGGCCCCTCCCCTCTGAAGCCGCTGACCTGAGCCCTCTGGGGCAGCGGAGCCCATTAGAGCCACCTGGGAGCCTTTAAACCGGAGGCCGCGCCCCACCCCAGCTAATTAACCGCCCGCCTCGGGTGGGCCTGGGCTCCGTGACGGTTAAACGCTCCCAGGTGGCTCTCTGTGCAGCGGGGGAGAGAGCCTGCTTCCAGCTTCCCGGCGAAGGAGCCGCCCGGTTCCTCAGGGAATCTCCAAACCCTGAACTCTCCCCGCACGCACGTTCTGCCTCACTTCTTACCTGTCCCCATTTGGAGGAAAGGACCAAGGTCCCTTGGGGGGCGTCAGGGGAAGACGTGGCCCAGGCTTGCAGGGAGGACCCTGGGCCTGTGCGAGTCTGAATTCACACAATGTGGGCTGGTTTACCAAAAATACTGGGGAATGGGCCCCGCCTTACTCACCTGCGGCGAATTCCCGGATGTTCTCTGGCCTTTGCAGGAACATTTCTCTGGAAAACACGAAGGGACGGGGCGGGAGGAAAAGCAGGCTTGGTGGCAGGCGGCCGTGGCCGGGGGAGGTTGTGCTGCAGCCAGGAAGCTGGCCACACGTCCAGCAAACGTGTTCCCGGAACCTCTAGGCCATGGCGGAACAGGCAGCGACGAGGAAGGGCATGCTGCCAATCCAGAGGGGCAACGGGGGGGCAGACTGCAGCCCCACCACCTCCCGAGGAGGTTCCTCCATGAGGTCCCAGGCCTTCAAACGGTTAATCATTTGCCCAAATTCAGAAAGCAAGTAACTAACTGGAGAGAGGACCAAGGGTTTTGTGATTCCAAGACCCATGCTCTCTCTGGTACTCATGGCTACAGCCGCCCAGCCTCCCGGCCTAGGGGCCTGGGCCCAAAGCACTAAGGATTTTGCTTCCCTTCTCTTCCAATTCAGTTTGAGAACTAGTGCGCACAGACTACGTGTGAATAACTATACTAGATAAGAGAGGTTGGGCTATTTTTTTAAAAAATGCATATTTTATTGATTTTTTTTACAGAGAGGAAGGGAGAGGGATAGAGAGCTAGAAACATCAATGAGAGAGAAACATCCATCAGCTGCCTCCTGTACACCCCCTACTGGGGATGTGCCTGCATCCAAGACACATGCCCTCAACCGGAATCGAACTTCAGTCCGCAGGCCGACCCTCTATCCACTGAGCCAAACCCGTTTCGGTGATACACGGTCTTTTTAAAAATATATATTTTACTGATTTTTTACAGAAAGGAAGGGAGAGAGATAGAGAGTTAGAAACATAGATGACAGAAAAACATCCATCAGCTGCCCCCTGCACACCCCCTACTGGGAATATGCCTGCAACCAAGGCACATGCCCTTGACCAGATTCGAACCTGGGACCCTTCAGTCCGCAGGCCAACATTCTATCCACTGAGCCAAACCGGTGAGGGCTAAGCTATCTTTGGTAGAGTCACTGGGAGGATCCACAAGAGTGTACCAATGCCGCCACTGTGGGCACTGGGAACACCAAACGTGGTTCTGCCAGCTCAGAGCTTTGGTCCAGGGACAGAAATGGATGGCAAGGCAAGTGTGATGGCTGCTGATGTCGGACACGAACGAACACAGAGCCTGCAGATGGAAGTCACTATTTAAACCTCGCCTATGTGTCGGTAGCCGAACAGTATTTAAGATCATTCTATTATTTTCACCCTCTCGGTTCTTTGTTGTTCATCTCATTGGGAGACTTTTCAAACGCCACGCTGAGCGGCAGGGTGGGGGAAGGAGAGAGCACGCTCCGGACATGAGGGAATATTGTCTTTCCCGCAAGACTTACAGAGGAATCACTCAACTCTCAGTCTTTATATATATATATATATATATATATATATATATATATATATATATATATATATATATATATATATAAAATTGATATTTTTACAGAGAGGAAGGGAGAGAGAGAGCTAGAAACGTCGATGAGAGAGAAACATCGACCAGCTGCCTCTTGTATACCCCCTACTGGGGATGTGCCCGTAACCAAGGTACATGCCTTTGACCGGAATCAAACCCGGGACCTTTCAGTCCACAGACCGACGCTCTACCCACTGAGCCAAACCGGTTTCGGCAACTCTCAGTCTTTCTGCAACTGTGCTCTCAGTTGTGAAGTTCTAATGATGTCATTAAGAGTCTCTGATGGAGAACCATGGCCTAGGCCGGTGGTCAGCAAACTCATTCGTCCACAGAGCCAAATATCAACAGCACAACGATTGATATTTATTTTGGGAGCCACATTTTTTAAAAGTAAACTTCTTCTAATGCCACTTCGTCCAAATAGACTCGCCCAGGCCGTGGTGTTTTGTGGAAGAGCCACACTCAAAGGGGCCAAAGAGCCGCATGTGGCTCGCGAGCCGCAGTTTGCCGACCACGGTTCTAGGCCCAATGGCTGCCGGTTGAGTTTCACCATGCCCAATTCCTTCTTCCAAGTGTCACAAGGTGTGTAGTTACCCCCGACAGCTACAGGGAATGAATATTGATAGTTTGGAGACTTTAGAGGTAACTCTAGGAAACTTCTAGAGATAACTCAAGAATGCCACAAACCCCGGAGCTGGGGAGAATTAAGCCTTCGGATATTTTGTCACGTTCAGGCCCTCCAGGGAGCAACAGGGGGTGCTTCAGGAGGAGAGTCACTCCCACTCCCCTGTCGCTGCTCCCTGCCAGCCTGGAGCCCCACCTACCTGAAGAAACCACTGAGCAGCAGCTCCACCTCTTTGTGGGATCTCAGGTACTTCTCATTAGCAATCCGCGTCTGGATCTGGGGACAAGAGCCGAGGGTCACATGCTCGGCCAGGAGGCAGGTTTCGGGGTTCAGGTCCTGGTGGTGTCCTCTCGCAGGACAGCTCAGCCCTGTGGTCTGGCCGATCAACAGCTCCCCGCTGCCTCCTCCCCGGGCTCAAGCGCCTGAACCCCAGTCGGGTCTCCATGGCGGGGAGCACCTGGCTTGTGTCTAAGGTAACAAATACATCAGTCACTTCGGTCCAAGTCTCGTCCCAGGTGCCTATTTTAGTTCTTCCTGCGCTTTGAGGCGCCCACTAGTGCTCCGTCCAGGGATCCGCCCGGGTTCTCCCCGGCCTTTCCCCCCCCAGTTGTCGGCTCCCCTCTCTCGGGGTTCTCCTCCCTGTCTGGACCCTTATCCTGGGAGGGGGGGGGGGGCCGGAAGCGCACCCACCTTGTACTCGCGCAGCTTCTCCAGCTGCTCGGAGCTCAGCGCCCCGGGGTCAGGCCCCAGCTGCCCGTCCTCCAGCGTCGTCATCGCGTCGTGGTCGTCAAGGCGACGGGCGCGCGCGGACGAGCCCCTGCCCCCGCCCCGCCAGGCCCCGCCCCAGGCCCCGCCCCGCCATGCCAGGCCCCGCCCCAGGCCCGCCCCAGGCCCCGCCCCCCGCCCCGCCCCGGCCGCGGGGCCCAGGCTGAGCGCAGCGGTCTGGAGCGGCTCTGGAGCTGGGGCGGAGCTCAGGGGGGCCCTCTAAAAGGGCTTCCTTCCCCAGATTTGGGGGACCCATTTCCCGACTTGATGGTATATGCAATGGGTCATCCCTCCTCGACATCCCCCCAAGTTCAAATAGTTTATTTCCTGTTTCCGGAGCAAACCTGGAAAGGCAGGCAGTCTCCCAGAATCCGGGTCCTGGCAGAAGCTGGATGGAGCCTGGTAGGAGGGAAAGAGAATCCAGGCTTTTCCCCTTTCCGCCCTCCGGGAAGCCGGGCGGCTCCTCTGCCCAGTGCACCCTCGACATTCAACTCTTGGCTTTTCAGCACGAAAGCACCCACAGGGCGGAGGGAGCGGAGGTCTGCACCGGAAGAAACAGTCTCAGACTGAAGATGCCGGGAAAGACTTGGAGGAACATCCTGCCCCTTGTCTCCCCTCCGGGACTCACTTTCCGGTGTAGATTCGCTTGATCCCCATGCATTCTGAGTTATTTCCTCCATTCCAGTGGAGGAGAGGCGGGGAAAGGCAGTCCGAAAAAGAAAAGCCTGAAAGAGGCAGACTAGGTCGTGGCTACAGGCCTCTCCCCAGAAGCGTCCTTCTAGCATCTAATTAGGAAGGGAAGTGACACATACAGCCGAGAGCTGCGAATAGCAGCCTGGAAAGGGCAGGGACCTGGCTCTCCCCGCGCACTTTTCCATGCCCCAGGGAGCCTGCCGTGCCCAGCATTGGGCTTCTGGGAGCCAGAGGAGAGAGCCCCAAGGGGCACCTGTGAGCAGCTGCCCAACGAGCAAGGACAACCCGAGAAACAGGCCCTGCGTTAGGCCTTGGCCTTGGGGTCCCTCGGTGGTCTTCCTCTAGCCTCTTGGCAAAGACTGAGGGAAAGAGGGAAACTGTTGCCCTGGCCGGTAAGGCTCTGTTGGTTGAACATCATCCTATGCACCAAGAAGTTGCTGGTTTGATTCCAGGTCAGGGCACAAACCTGGGTTTGGGGGTTCAATCCTCAGTGGGGAACCTGTAGGAGGCAGCCTTTCACCCACATTTCTCCCTCCCTCTCCCCCCACTCTCTCCCTCTCTCTCTCCCTCTCTCCCTTCCTCTCTAAAATCAATAAAAAACACATTTTAAAAGAAGAAGTGAAGCCAAAACTGGTTTTGCTCAGTGGATAGAGCGTCGGCCTGTGGACTGAAAGGTCCTGGGTTCGATTCCGGTCAAGGGCATGTACATTGGTTGCAGGCACATCCCCGGTGAGGGGTGTGCAGAAGGAGGCAGCTGGTCGACGTATCTCTCTCATCGATGTTTCTAACTCTCTATCCTTCTCCCTTCCTCTCTGTGAAAAATCAATAAAATATATATTTAGAAGAAGAAGAAGAAGAAGAAGAAGAAGAAGAAGAAGAAGAAGAAGAAGAAGAAGAAGAAGAAGAAGGAGAAGAAGAAGAAAATATGTTGGCAGTTCCCAAGCCAAGAAAAGCCCGAAAGAGGCAGACTAGGTTGTGGCTACAGGCCTTTTCCCAGGAACCCCCTCCAGGTTAGCAGTCCTCTTGCTGTTTGAGTTCTGAGGGAGAGAGAGTTAACAGAGGGAGAGGCAGATAAGCTGCCATCTGTCAGAGGTGATTTTTTTTTTCAGGCAGGAGCAGAGATTAATCAGAGGCAATGGTTCCTGTTGGCCAAGGCCTGCCCCTCCCCACCTTCCGCCCCCAGCATGGTTAATGGTGGAGCCTCCAGAGCTGCACCGTTCAGTGCGGCCACCACAGCCACCTGTGCCCGCTGAGCACGTGCAATGGTGCTGCAAGTGTCAGATGTGCTGTAAGTGTAAAATACACACTAGATTTGAAGACTTAATTTAAAAAATGTAATGGCCCCAACAGGTTTGGCTCAGCAGATAGAGCGTCGGCCTGTGGACTCAAGGGTCCCAGGTTTGATTCCGGTCAAGGGCGTGTACCTTGGTTGCGGGCACATCCCCGGTGGGGGGTGTGCAGGAGGCAGCTGATTGATGTTTCTCTCTCATTGATGTTTCTAACTCTCTATCCCTCTCCCTTCCTCTCTGTAAAAAAATCAATAAAATATATTTTGAAATTTAATGTATCTCATTAATACTCTTTATATTGGTTACATGTTGAATAATATTTTGAATATACATCAATTAACTATATATTATTAAAAGTAATTTTCAGGGGACTTCCAGCAATAAATATTTTTCTAAAAAATAAAAAATGAAATTTCGTCTCGAGATCTCTCTGTCCTTTCCTCCCCCAGGCTTGTCTTTTTCTTTCTTTCTTTCTTTCTTTCTTTCTTTCTTTCTTTCTTTCTTTCTTTCTTTTTTTTAAATGTGGCTCCTAGCAAATTTTAAATTATATAGATTTGCTGGTCTAGACTGGCAAATCTACCCCCACACACTTGCAAATGCATGCACCATTCTCTTTACCCCTCACCCCCCAAACCAAAGTAATTCATCTCCTCCTCTGCTGCTCTATGACTTTCTTGTGCTTTGAGAATCAACCAAGCCTTTCTCACGGCCCAAATCCCAATGCCAGCGTGAGTCAGTGAGAGAGCCCGCTTCTCTTTTCCGAACATCTCAGTCCTCATTGCTGCACACGGTGGGCCTCCTGTCTGCCTCTGCCGCTGAGGCAGGATCCGCGCGAGGGAAGGAATTTTTGACCTTTCAGTTTCTGGTACTTTCTGCTGCAGCTGTCTTCACTTTGTCTTTAATTAGCGAGGCCAGCAAGCGTTTGGTGGCTATCCACTCCGCCCACACACAGCGCTACCACCTCTGGCCCTTTCTGGAAAACAGCCCACTTATTCAGCGTTTCTCACTTCCTAAGTCTGAACCCACGAGTGAGTTCTCCCTCTATGAAGTAAATAATCTTCTTTGTGAACCAATGTCACCCCAATAAATTCAATTAAAAATCATCTTTTTATGTAGGGCAATTTAGCATGGAGTGCAGTGGAACAAGAAAGAGGGGGCGGGGAGGGTGGGACTTGGGGACAGTGGGCAGAGAAAGCACCCTGGGGGACCAGGAGCTTTGAAGCCATTTCCTCCTGGGATGGGCCTCCGAGTCACTGAGGCTCCCCCCGACCCCCCCAGTCCTCACCTCCCAGGGCTTCCCTCCCCTGTAGCTTGAAGGCAAACAGAGATGTGGCCACAGGCACACGGCAAAGAGGGCCTGTGAGAGGCCCCACCTCTCCTCCCCCAAACCCTGCCTCTCCCCGAAGACTATCGCCGTCCATCTGGGGGGACCACAAACTAAGAGGGGGATTATGCTGCGTGGGCAGCTGACTCCCCGGTTGCTGACGGGGAAGAGGAGTGGGAGGAGTTCATTATAATTTATTTTTGCGACATGTTTAATATTTCCATTAATATGGTTAGCCCCAGCCTAAATGAGCAGCAGGGCGGCAGATCTGCTGACAAGACGTGGGGTAATGAGATCAGCGGGGCAGTGGGGTCTTCCTGCCATCCGTCCTCAGAGGGCGTGATCTGGTTATCGTCTCCATAAATACCAAGATCAGATTAGGAGGAGGAAAGACACACAGGGAGGCGAGTGGAAAGTTACTTCCCAGATGTGTTTGCTCTCTCTGTTCCCTGGCACTGGCAACACATGCTCTGACCTCATGGCACAGGGTCCTCCACCATTTCCCCACCCACCCACACACACACACCTCAGGGGACCCTACTAGGAGGTCCTCAGTGTCATATGATAAAGTGTACTCACACAGACACACACAGACACACACACACACACACACACACACACACACACACACACATATACGCGCCTGCCGAATATGGCTTTCAGGACACAGACACACACATTAAGGAAGGATGGGAGGTAGTCACAGTGAATCAGCAGTAGAAAGAAGGACCTCTCGCCCTAACTGGCTTGTTGGCTCAGTGGATAGAGAGTCGGCCTGGGGACTGAGGGGTCTGTCCCAGGTTCAATTCCAGTCAAGGGCATGTACCTTTGTTTCTCTCTCATTGATGTTTCTAACTCTCCATTCCTCTCTGTAAAAAAATTAACAAAATATATTTTTTTTAAAAGAAAGAAAGAAGGGCCTCTCTCATTCAGGGCTCAAATGAAGACACAGGACAAGAAAGGCCAGGCTTTTCCCATTCCCACTAGGTCGGAGCTTTTTACATTTTAATTCTCACTGGGGGGTCCATGGTTATTCATTTGAAGGGGCGGGGGAGAGAAGCCTCCATCCATTGCCTTTAACCAGGAATCAAACATGCAATCTTCTGGTGTCCAGATAGATGCTTCACCCACATGAGCCACCTGGCCCGGGCCCCACCCGGAGTTAAAGGTGTGGACTCGGGAGCTGGGCAGCCTGCTCCACTCTCAGCTAGATCTCTTTCTCGCTGCATGAGCTTAGGCAAGTCCTTAACTCTCTGGGCCCTGGTTTCCTGTCTTTGTTGAGAGCTAATCATTGAACATGTCAGAGGGTGGTGCTGAGGCTTAGACAAGTTAGTAAATATATAGATAGCACTTGGAGCCATGCCTGGGACACAGTAGGTCCCATCTGAGTGCTGTTACTGTTACTTCACTTCCAGAAGAGACAGCTGAGCAGGGGGCTGCTGGGATTCCGTGGGGGCATTTTTTGGACACCCCAGCACCCCTGTGCTTGCCCCCCTCTGGGTGAAGAAGGGAATGACAGGAGGCAGGGCCCCTGTCAGTGAGCCCCGGCAGACAAGAGCTGCTCGGTCCGGGAGGCTGGGTGTCAGAGCTGCTCCCTGCGCGGAGGGGGAGCTGTGAGTGGGTCCAGTGCATTGTGGGGGAGGTGGGGTGGCAAGCTCCCTCGAGATCATGAAGCAAACGGGTCATCCATACTGTAGTTGTTTAGGGGAGTAAGGGCCCCCAAATGTGCTTCCCCCACCTCTCTTCACTCCCTGATTCCATTCCAGTC